CATTACCCAATATCCAGCCTCAGTTTCCTCATTTGTAAAATGGAATCAATGGCTCTCCTGTCTCCCCATCAACCCCTTCATAGGAGGAGGCTCCTTTTTCAGTTGGGGTTTGGGGAGTTTGAGCCACACTCGGCTCTCCCTAGCAGAGGGAGTGGGCAAAAGGGCCAGGGCGGCCCCGCCCAGCAAGTGTCCTGTCCACTGTTATCAAGACTGCCAGGGCGGAAGAAGCCTCTGAGGCCGGAACTACAGGAGGTGGGGGAGGGGACGACCGCCACCCCTCCCCGCCAGCACCCGGCCCGCGAGGCCTGGATGCTAGGGTCCCCAGGCTGCACGGGGCTCTTGGGGGCCGGGCAAGGAGCAAGGCGTCCCCCGCCCTTGGATCTGCATTGGAGCCTGGACGCGCATCCTGAGCACTCTCACCACCTGGGGTCGCTGACCAGCGCACCCAGGCCCGGCCGGCCGCGGTCCCCACCATGGGGCCCCAAGAGTCCAGCCCGCCGGACTTTGCCTAGCTCAGACACCCGGGAGCCTGGCTGTCCAGCGGTGCCCTCCCCACGCCATTCTCTAGGGGGTCTAGGAGTCCATGCCCAGCGCCTGTCTCGCCACCCTTAGTCTGATTCCTTTCGGTCCCCGGAGTTTAGTCTCCCAACTTTGTTCCGCTCCCCTCCCTCAAGGGAGAGCCAAGTCCCCGCCCACCCCCTCGAGGGTCAGGTGCTCGACGCCCAGCCAGGTCCCCAACTCCCCGCCGCTTGCCTCCTAGAGCCCGTGCGCCCCCGGCCCCCCGCCCCCAGGGGGCGGCACTCACTTTCCCCTACCACCGCCTTCAGCCCCGAGGGCGCCATCTTTCCCTAGGGGCGCCGCCGCTTCCGGGTCTGTCCCAAGGTGGGGGCGTGGCCCCTACGTCATCCACGTGGACCCCGCCCCGCGGGGCCGGGGCACGCCCCCTGCCCACCTGGCCCCGCCCCTCCACCGGTTCTCGGAGAAGTTGCGTTCCCTGCTGAAATGACAGGCGAAAGCGTCCCTGCAGACACTGCAGACACTTTCAAAGTCGCCGGAGGAGCACGCCCCGACGACACGTTCATAGGCGTGAGCTCAGACACACTTTCCTAGCTTGTGTGCAGAGAGAAAGTGGGATCGCAAGGCAATATTAACCCCTTTATCTTCCCCAGGCATAGTTCCACCCTGGCAGAAATTTCTCCCTTGTGTCTGAAGGATACTGTGTGTGCCTACCTGGAGCTACGGGACCGCAAACCGGTGATCCACTTACCTTCTGTTCCCGAGTTTAGTAGCAGCAATGGGCTTGGGCAACACTTGATAACGAGGCCTGGGGGGAAGGTTGGCGCTAAGCCAGCATTTATTGGGTGCTAAGTTCTCAGTTGGGGCTTCTCTGGTGGCTCAGATGATAAAGAATCTGCCTGCAATGCAGGGGTTCGATTCCTGGCTCAGGAAGATCTCCTGAAGAAGGAAATAGCAAACCCACTCCAGCATTCTTGCCTGGAGAATTCCATGGACAGAGGAGTCTGGCGGGCTACAGTCCATGGGATCACGAAGAGTCTGACACGACTGAGCAACTGAGATGCACACACAGGTTCTTAGTCGACGCTGCAGAGGCCCTGATGGGCAGTGCAGGTTGGACAATGAAACCGCAGCTTGGACTGACCCTTGTCCAAGGCCGGTGATGAATAGGCCTATTGCAGTCTGAAGCACAAGTCAGTCCCAGGAGGTATGCTAGTCACAGCCTTGCTGATGCACACTTGAATTCACTGGCATGTTCAACTGCTTGCACACATACACACACACACATCTCAATTTTACACTCGACTTGAAATTTCAGGGCCTTCCCGGCTGTGTGCCAGCAAAGGGCTGACACTTTATCACACAGCCAGGCACAGTCCAGCATCACCTCCTTTCGATGAGGATTTAAGGTGTGACACTTATGTGTGGATGCAGACTCCTGAGCTGGCTCAGTCCTGAATGCGTGCTTTTATTTGGCCGTGTTTTTTTTTAAGAGTTTATCCAGGTGCCAGGCCCTCTGCCACTTTCACAGGACAGGCATGGGACCGACTATAATGAATAAGACCAGAAAGCCTGCCAGGCACACTTAAAGTTGAGTGGAGGAGGAGGGGAGAGAATGATCAATTATGCCTTAAGGAAATAAAGTGACTCGATAGCAAATTTAGGGGTGGGGTGGGGCACTCTATTGGGGGTGATGCCAGAGGGGTATCCTGAGGAGGTGATCTTTTAACCCTGAATGATACTAGGGAGCAGCCGTGCATAGAGAAGCAGGGGATGAGATTGGAGGAGTGGCTGGAGTGAGATGAGAGTGGTGATGCCCCCCTCCCCGACAGAAGCTGAGGTTGGAGGGGCCACAGAGACCAGACCCCAGTGGGACATGGCAGGACTAACCTAGCCCAATTTACATGGGATTGAGAGGTTTTCAGGACCCAGGGCTTTCAGTGATAACACTGGGACAGTCCTGGACAAACCAGGAGGGCTGGCCTCTCTACAAAGGAGCTTGGGTTTTTCTTTTTTCGTTTCTCTCTCTCATCTTCTCTCTCTCCCCCTCTCTACCATCCTTTTTTTCCTCTTTGTTTCTTAGCTTTATTACAATATAATTCACATACAATTTAACCACAGAGAGGGGACAATCAATTGCTTTTGCCATATTCATGGTTGTGTATCCATTACCTGTCAATTTAAAGTTATTTACTGAAGTATAGTTGATTTACAAGGTCAATTTCTACTTTACAGCAAATGATTCAGATATACATGCACATTCTTTTTCATATTATTTTCCATTATGGTTTATCACAGGATATTAAATACGATTTTGTGCTATACTCTATATAAAAGTTTGCATTTGCTAACCCCAAACTCTTAATCCATCCCTCCTCCACACCTCCTTGCATTTGACAACCACAAGTCTCCTTTCTATGTCTGCTAGTCTGTTTCTGTTATGTAAATAATTTGTGTCATATTTTAGATTCCATACATGAGTGAAATCAGATGGTATCTCTCTTTCTAACTTACTTCACCTAGTATAATAACCTCTAGGTCCATGTTGCTGCAAATGGCATTATTTCATTCTTTTTAATGGTTGAATAATATTCCATTGTGTATATGTACACATCCATCTGTTGATTCTCCATCTGTTATCCATTCATCTGTTGTTTCTGTGTTTTAGCTATTGTGAACAGTGCTGCAGTGAACACTGGGGTGCACGTATCTTTACAAATTACAGTTTTCCAGATCTATGCCTAAAAGTGGGATTGCTGGATCATATGGTAGCTCTATTTTTAGTTTTTTGAGGAACCTCCAATACTGCTCTCCATAGTGACTGCACTATCTTATATACCCACCCACAGTGTAGGATGGTTCCCTTTCCTCCACATCCTCTCCAACATTTATAAGATTTTTAAAAGATGGCCATTCTGACCAGCATCACCAGTCAAGTTTAGAACATCTCCATGATCCCATGATGTTCAGGTTTTCTCCTGAGGACAATGGGGGCCAAGGGAGAGTTCTGAGTGGGGGAGGGAGGGGACCCCTGTGGTTCCTGAGAGGAAGGATGGATTATAGGGGCAATGGCCGGGTGGGGGGGGGCGGGGGGCGGGGAGGGATGGAACTGGAAAACCCAGAGGAAGCTGGGACCACCTCTAGCGTCTCAGTCTGTCCCCTGGTGGCGAGACTCTGTAGGGTCTGGCCTCACTCTACCAGGTGAGTATAATCAGGTCTTCTGCTGCTATGGGCTCAAGGATGTGCTAACCACCCCCTTGAAGGAAAAAAAAAGTATGTTACAGTCCTTACTCCCAGCACCTTAGAATGTGCCCTGTTTTGGATATATGGTTTTTGCAGGTGCGGTTAGTAAAAGATGAGGTTGTGCTGCGGTAGGGTGAGTCCCCAAAGCACTGTGACTAGTGTCCATGTCTTAGGACAGCCGTGTTGAAACAAGTACATGAGGGGGATGTCTGTGATGACAACGGCAGAGACTGAAGTCCTGCAGCGACAAGCCACAGGAGGCTAAGGACTGCCGGCAGCCACTCGAACCCAGGGAGATGCAAGGGAAGATTCTCTCCTCTGCATGGCCCTGCCAACACCTGGATTTTGGACTTCTGGCCTCCGGAACTGTATGACGATAAATGTCTGCTGCTCTAAGCTACCTCATTTGGCACACTTCGTTAAGGCAGCCTGGGGAACTAATATGTCTGGGGAGGAGCAGGACATCACGTTGGCATTTGGGGTCATGGGGCCACGGAGAGGATGTGGACAGGGGCTCCAGAGGGCAGTGGGCTGTCTGGGGAGGAGGACCAAGCTTTACAATCAGGCAGAGATGGTCATGGTGCAGCCCCTTTATCCTGAGAATAAGCTTTAACTGGTTTCCAGAAAGGCATCCTGGGGAGGGGGTGGGGTGCACATGGGGTCCTCCCAACAGCACCCTCTCCCGGGGCACTGATGGGGAGCCACAGCTGCTCAGGGGAGGGGGTGGGGTTTCCTTCTTGCCTCCCTCGCCAGGACTCTAGCCTCTCATCCCTAATCGGGACTGGGGGAGGGGGGTCAAATGGGAGGAGACAGGTCCACTTGGCATTGGTGATGGGGAGACAGGTGCTCTCACAACTTCCTGTTTTTTGGGGGGGAATGGGGTGGGGACAACCAGGCCTGGGGACACTAGTAGAAGGGGTGGCCAGGAGACAGAGGTGGAGCCAGGCTAGCTGGTGGTGGCTCAGCTGTCCTTGAGCTTCCTCTCCTCCCACCACCTGTGGATGCAACTGCCTTTCCAGCAAATACGGTGGGCAAGGTGGATGCAGATCTCATCTGAACTGTCCCGTGGTCCAGTCCTTTCCCAAGGGGGTCCAGTCAGCTCAAGTTCTCCACTGTGGGGACCCTGCACCCCACCTCAGAGTCCATGAGGCCCAGCAGGTCCTAAACCCAGGTCACCCTGCCTCCTGCCCCCACAGCAACCCCAGCCTCACGCTGCAAAAACAATTATCTGGATCATCTTTATGGGGCTTAAGCTTGGGTGGGAGCAGATGGGGCATGAGCTAGGGATTTGGGGCTGGGTATCCACTACACACACCCTGCCCCCCCCGTATCCCAGTCTCTTAAAAAGCCTTCTCTGGCCTGGGGCCGGGGCAGAGGCCAGCGGAGAGGTGGACGGGATCCAGGGGAGGGGAGCAGGGACAACGATGGACCAGGAAGAGGAGGATGTGGGCTCAGCCTGCAGCAAGGTGAGCAGGCCCCACCCCCCCCAACCCCCACTCAAGGGCCCGTGAATGACAAGACTAATTCGTTTGTAGGGCACCTAATTAGCAAGGAGTCTTCTGGGACCCCTGACCCAGTTGCCACCTAAGAAGGTACAGGAGGGCACTTGAGGTTCTGAGTGCCTAATCCAGCCCCCAGCGAGGTCAGGGCTCTCAGTGATGACCCCATGGGGGGAGGGGGCTGGGATAAGGGAGCGGCCCCTGGGAAGGTCCCCTGGTTAGTGTCCGAGTCCCAGGCTGCCACGAAGTCAGACCCCTATGTAGGACGTCAGCCCTCTCTCCCGGGGTAGCGCTGCAGTCACGTGGCACTGCTGGTGGGGTCCCCTGGGGCAGGGGCCAGGGCGAGATTGAGAAGGAGACTCATGTCTCATTTGGAGCAGCTCTGCAAAGCAGCACATCGGCGGGGACCATGGTGAGAGCCACGGAGAAGCTCAGGGCGGGCCCGGGAGCCAGGTGGAAGCTGGCTGGCTGGGTTGAGGGGTCTCCTGGCTGAGGGCCGGCTGGACTGAGCATGTCTGTTCCCCAGGCTGGCTCCCCAGACCAGGAGGGCTTCTTCAACCTGCTGAGCCACGTGCAGGGCGGCCGGATGGAGGAGCAGCGCTGCTCGCTGCAGGCGGGGCCGAGCCCAGCCTCTGACAGCCGTGAGAGCGGGCAGCAGGGTGTGCAGAAGTGGCTGTGATGTGGGTGGCCGGGCATGAATGGGGCAAGTGGCCACCTGGGGGACCTGTGGGCAAGAGTCTGAGAAAGTGAGCCAGTGACTAGGGACAGAGATGCCCATGGGTTGGGGGCAGATACCAGCATGCTTCTTGGAGGATGTTGAGTGGGGGGTGGCAGGGTGGGCTGGGGGGCTCCAGCTGGGCTGTCTGAGCTCCCCACGGCCTCGGCTCCACGCAGAGAGCGGCCCTGCACCCGAGATGGACAGCCTCATGGACATGCTGGCCAATACCCAGGGCCGCCGCATGGATGACCAGCGAGTGACGGTCAGCGCCCTGCCTGGCTTCCAGCCTTTGGGCCCCAAGGTAGGTGATGCTCTTCCTGGGCTGAGGAGAGACCAACCAGGCTGAGGCCTTTAACCCTGCCTTCCACCCCTAGCCAGGAGTGCAAGGGGCCCCATCCCCACCTCTGTCTGTCCATCATCTGGTAGGAGCACTCATCCTGAGTCCCCGCCAGTCACAACACCCCGGTGGATCCAATACCCCAGTTCGGAGGGAGGGCAGAGGCCCAGACAGGGCTGAAAAGGGATCAAGGTCATGTCCGGGGCATGTTCAAGTCAGAGACATGGCGGGAACTTAAGGCTCCTGAGCCCAGGTGTCTGAGAGCTGTGAAGAGGTGACGGAGAATAGACCCCTCCCTGGGAAGGCACCCCGAGGGTAGAGGACAGGTGAGCTTGTGCAGAGGACGCATCCAGACCCCCACGGGTCCACATCACACATACTTGCCCACAGCTTGGCTTCTGATCAGGACCCCAGTGAGGCCCCCAAGACCCACCAGCCCCAAAATACCACCCTTAATGTTGAGTAACCGAGAAGCACAGAGGCTCAGGGATGGTGGGAGCAGGTAAGGGGAGGGGGGAGGTGTGACTCAGTTGCCATCTGCCGCCTCCCTCCAGTGTCTGTGTCCCCTCTGGCTGGCACTACCCTCGCCCCCTCTCTCTGGTTGACCCCTGTGTATCAACAGGACGGAGTGCAGAAACGAGCTGGGACCCTCAGTCCCCAACCCCTGCTCAGCCCTCAGGACCCAGCTGCTCTCAGCTTCCGTCGGAACAGCAGCCCCCAGCCCCAGACACAAGCCCCCTGAGGGCCTAAGGCGTCCTGGGCCCCCCGCGGCCCCCGAGAGCTGACAATAAAGCACTTCCATGAGCAACAAAGAACCGTGTGTGTGTTATTCTGTGGGGAGGGCTGGAATTCCGGCACGTGGAGGCCTCAGGGGCTCTGCTGCGCAGCACGAAGAAGTTTCTCCTCCCGCTGCTTCCGTATCCTCTCTTTGAATTCTTCTAGCTCTCGGCGCTGGGGAGGTGAGAAGGGAAGGAAAGAGAGGCAAATGCACCTCAGGGCCTCGATCTTGTTCCCAGCCCACCTCCCCTTAAGCCCCCAGATCGTGGCTTCAGAGCTCACTGTCTACAATGAAGCCTATGTCAATTACAACCCCAGATTAGCCTCAACCTTCAGGGGGTTCCCTGATAGCTCAATTGGTAAAGAATCCATCTGCAAAGAAGGATACCCCAGTTCAATTCCTGGGTCAGGAAGATATCCTGGAGAAGGGATAGGCTACCCACTCCAGTATTCTTGGGATTCCCTTGTGGTTCAGCTGGTAAAGAATCTGTCTGCAATGTGAGAGACCTGGGTTCAATCCTTGGGTTGGGAAGATGCCCTGGAGAATAGAAAGGCTACCCACTCCAGTATTCTGGCCCGGAGAATTCCATGGACTAGTCCATGGGGTCGCAAAGAGTCAGACGTGACTGAGCGACTTTCACTTTCACTTCACTTTCACTTTCAGGAAGAGGGCAGTTAAGGAAATCATATGTCCCTCCACTCTAGGTTCCCTGCCCACGACTGAGGATCTCATCGTGGCCACAGGAATCCAGGCCCCGCCCCTCTCCGGTGGGAGAAAAATTACATGGCTTACCTGGTCCTCCTTCTCAGGGGGCCACAGCTCCCTCTGTAGGGACAAAGTCACAGAGTCACAAGCCAGAAGCCTCTAGAGCCCCGCATCCAGGGCAGGGTCGGCTCAGGGGAGGCTGACCCTGGTCCCTCATACCCTTCCCCACCCCCTGGAATGAACCGGTGCCCACCTTGCGCTGTATGACATAGTCCTCAAACCACTCGGCCTGATTGGCAATCCAGAACATAGCCACAGGGAAGGTGAGGTAGATGGTCATCTGGAAGGGAAGGGGACGGATGAGTAGTCAGGAATTACCATCCCCGCCTCCACCCCTACTGTACAGAGGCTGCTCAGAGTCTGGAAGACCATCCTCTGGCCGAGACGAGGTTTTTCCTCAGGGCTCTCCAGAGCCTCAAAACTCCCATCAAGGATACAGAAGTCATACCTTTAAGTCTAGTCCCCAGAATCCAAGAGCCACCCCCCCCCCACCCCGAAAGCCCCCTCCGAGTCTGGAAGACGCTTTCTCAAAGAAACACAGACATATTGGCCCCAGGAGCAGAAGAACTCTACTACAATAAAGGCATCTCTCTGAGACCTCAAACCACCCCCAGCTAGATTCCAGAGCACTCTCAGACCCAGAACTCATTCTTCAGAGTCTAGGAGTCGGTCTAGGAGAAAGACGCACACCCACTGTAAACCCGAGAGCTCCACCAGAGCCTTTAATCTTCCCTCTTAGAGCCTCCTCCCCAGGTCACATCTCTCAGAGGGCTTTCCTCACACCTGCCCTCCCAGAGTCCCCAACCCAGCGCCCCCTCCTCTGCGTCTCCAACTGTAAAGGTCCCTTTCAAATCTCTGGGGCTTAGAGCCCCTCTCTCGGAGGCCTCCCTTTTCAGAGCCTTCTCCTCATACAGGAAGAACCCCGCGCCCAGCCTTCCGACTGCTCGGTTGCTCACTGACCCGAAACACCTCAAGCTTCACCCCCATGTTTCTCCTCTTAGGCTTCACAGCCGCTTCCGCCCAAAGCAAACCGTCCAACAAGACAGTAGGTCATTGGGAGTCCGCGGGCTGCACTGCTAAAGCTGATTGGTCCGAGTAGCTTTCGTCATGACGTCATCTTAGAGCGCTCGCCTCTGCTTCCGGTAGCTGGGGCAGTCGAACGGAAAGTCAACAACACCTGGTACATGATCGGGAAGAGTTCAGCCAATGGGAAATTAGTCTGGTTCGAGAGAGCTGGCCTTTAGGCGTAGACGTCATCATACCGCGACTCCTGTCCGTACCTGGAGAGCTTGGAAAATGGTGGTGATGGCGCGGCTCTCGAGGCCCGAGCGGCCGGACCTTGTCTTCGTGAGTCCGCGGCGGGCCGGGGGCGGCATTCATAGGGGCACCAGGGCTTAGATACCTCAGGGGATTGGGGCTTGGCCACTCGGGGTATTTAGGCTAAAACTGTGCCGGTCTGAGGGCAGGAGAACCCTTACGGGCCGAAGACCGGCTGGTGATGTCTGGACCAGGCTGGTCAGGAGCAAGGATCTGGTGCCGGAGCCCAGGTGACCTGCGTAAAGAGCAAGTGGTCGAAGTTAAGGGCCTGGCATCCCGGACCTGGGACGGAAATGGGAGCGCGCGGGATGTGGGCGGGAAGGGAAACTCATGTAGCTAAACTTTGAGAGGCGTGGTGTTTGAAGTAAAAGCATGGTGATCAGTCCAGGGCTGGTTTCACTGGTAAAATCTAAGTGTTCTAGGTAACGGTCCAGGTCTGGTCCTGAGCGTTATAGTTTTTGGGATAAAGGCATGGTGTCTGGACGGGGAGAATCTTGGGAAAAGAAGTAAAGACCTGGTGATGTGGAGCTGAGTGGGCGACGGCCAGTAGAATCCTGGAGAGTCAAAGTCGTGGTGTTTGGAGTAGAGGCGTGGCATTTTCACTAGATTGATCCTTGGTGTCTCGAGTTAAAGGCTAGGGAACTTGTCCATACCTTTCTTCCTGAGATAAGGATCTAGCTTCCAACTTCTGAGGCAGAGTTGAGCTAAACTGGCTGGTAGGATCCTGAGATGCCAAAGGTCTGCTGTCTGGGGAGGGTCATGCTCTGAGGAGGTAAGACTTGGTGACTAGGGTAGAGGCCTAGTGTCAGACCAGAACCTTGGTGCCTGTAGAGTCTGGTGACCTGGGCCAGAAAGTGGATAGCTTGATTTGGAAGGCCAAGAAAGTGATGTCTGGGTGATAGTCTCATGCCTGACCTGGAACCTGGTGACCGAGGAGTCTGATAGTGTGATAGTCTGGGTCACGTTGTAGGTCATCAGATTCTGAGAGGTAAAAGTCTGGCCCAGAGTCCTGGTATCTGGGTAACTGGGCTCCAGTGGTGAGCAGTGGCATCTGGGACCTGGGTAGGGGTCCCAGTAGGAGTGGTGCTGTGTGCAGGCTCTGAGAGCAGATCTCTTCTCCCCATACCTTGCCCCTGGCAGGAGGAAGAGGACCTCCCCTATGAGGAGGAAATCATGCGGAACCAGTTCTCTGTCAAGTGCTGGCTCCGCTATATCGAGTTCAAGCAGGGGGCCCCCAAGCCCAGGCTCAATCAACTGTATGAGCGGGCGCTCAAGCTGCTGCCCTGCAGGTGAGATTGGCAGCAGCTGCCCTGCCTGGCCCGCCCCCTGCCCCACCCTACCTTTTCCCATCACACCAGAACTGGCTAGTAGGTCCCAGGTCCCTCCTAGGTGTTGTGTCAGCGAGTAAACATCCCAGGAATCGCTGAGCACACCTTCCCTGATGTCCTGGCTATTTTCCCCAGGCCCCTTCTCCCAGCACTCATCTTATAGGGCAGAGGGGAGGGTCCCGGGAGTCCAGAAAAGCTGACCAGTCACTGCCCCTCCCTCCACCTCCCAGCTACAAACTCTGGTACCGCTACCTGAAGGCCCGCCGGGCACAGGTGAAGCATCGCTGTGTGACTGACCCCGCCTATGAAGATGTCAACAACTGCCATGAGAGGGCCTTTGTGTTCATGCACAAGGTGGGGAGGGGGAATGGCTGGGCCAGGGAATGAGTAGCGAGGTGGGGCTCAGAGTCCACAGAGGTGGACAAAGCAGGGGTGGGAATTCTGTGACCTCTGTGCATGCCGGGCTGAATGAGACTTAGTTCCAGGGGCACTGGGGTTCTGGGTCCTGCTGCAGGGGACATCCAGCATCCTGGGGCCCAGTGGTGAGGCTGGCAGCTCAGCCCCTCCTCTCCCCACCCCTCCAGATGCCCCGGCTGTGGCTGGATTACTGCCAGTTCCTAATGGACCAGGGACGTGTCACGCACACACGCCGAACTTTCGACCGGGCCCTCCGGGCATTGCCCATTACCCAGCACTCTCGTATTTGGCCACTGTACCTGCGCTTCCTGCGCTCACACCCCCTGCCTGAGACTGCTGTGCGGGGCTACCGGCGCTTCCTCAAGGTGAGCCCCTGAAAAGGGCGAGACGGGGCCAGGTTCAGACAGGTGGACCAGTTCCCCAGGTCAGGACTTTCCAAAAACGGGCTTGTTGGGGGCACTGTCTGCCCTGACAGACAGGAAATGGGAACATGCCTAGTTGAGACAGACAGGCCTTTGTTTGTGAGTTCTGTGTTCAATCTCCAGAGAGTTTGCGAGCATCCACTCCACATCAGGCATTGGGACACGGGTGCTGGGGACAGCGTGGCTAAGACAGTCCCTTCTTGCACGGAGCTCTCAGTCTCACCTGGCAGACAAATGCTTACGACCTGACTGCATAAACCAGAGTAAATCTGCAACCATGAGAGCGCAGGGAACAGGAGATAAACACATACCAGGCAGGGCTGAGAGTCGAGGGGCAAACAGTGTGGAGGCCTCATGCGGTTTCCCCAAATTTATAGTCTCTTCTGCATCGTGAAATCCTTAGTGCAGTGCTGTTTTAGGTAGGGGGCTTGTGATGAAAGCAAGGCCTGGTCTGTGCAGGCTGGACCGCTGGTGTCTAACCCAGACCAGTGAGGGCTGGGGCTAGACAGGTGCAGCGCTAGCTCCTGCCCAGGACAGTGGTGGGTGGCTGACCGGAGGTGGGGTGGGAGGAGGCATGGTGGTGTGGCCTTGTGGCCCCACTGACAGCCGGTGGTATGTGGGTGCCCAGCTGAGCCCTGAAAGTGCTGAGGAGTATATCGAGTACCTCAAGTCAAGCGATCGGCTGGATGAGGCGGCACAGCGCCTGGCCACCGTA